TACATGCATGGGATATCAAAGAGATTGTCCAATGATTTCCTCATTCCATTGGGTCACCTCTCTTTGAAATGGGCACAAATATGGATCTCTTCCCATCAGTGAGTCAGATAGTTGTCTTCCAATTTCTTGGCATAGATGAGTGAGTGCCTCCGGTGCTGCCTTACTTTCTTGAAAGATTTCTATTTTTATTCCATCAGTTCCTGGTGCCTTGTTCTTTGCCAGTTCCTTCAATACACATTGGACTTCCTCCTTCATTATCATTTGCTCTTGGATCATATGCTACCTCTTGAAATGGTTGAACATCAACCATTTCCATTTGATACAGTGACTGTGTATTCCTTCCATTCACAAGCCACCGCAGTACAACAAACTGACAGACGAATGGTGGGCTATCACATTAGGGGTGAGTTAATTAAATATTTCACCAAATAGAGCTGGCTAATTTTTAAGTTGATTTTTCTCTATGGTCCATGAATAAGGATATAAATTTTGGCAGTAAAAAGGTTCCCCATACCTGTTCTAGACCTCTCTGTCTCTCCTGAATGTTTCTACTTAGAGCTCCAGTTTACAAACATAAAGGTGTAAATCACTGACTTTAGACATTTCCTATTGCATGGGAGAAGGGGAGCATGCAAACAGCTTAGTCACTGGGTAGTCCAAAGGGAGCTGCAATGAGCTGGCTATACCCGTATACTCATGTCGCTAAAGAGGGGCAGCGACATCGTAGGGACAGCATCGTAGGGATGGCAGAAGCAAAAGGCAGGGGACAGAGAGGAAAGAGGTCAATCCTGAATCTTCCAAGGAGAGAAGAGCATTTTCCATGCACCAAGGGGGACCAAACTAACACCAACCCCATTGCTTGAGTTGATTCTGGTGCGTAGCCACTCCATAGGGCAGGGCGGAACTGCTCTGTACGGTTTCTGAGACTGTCAATGTTTATGGGTGCAGACAGCCTCATCTTTCTCTTGCAGAGCAGCTGGTGGATTCGAACCACCAAACATGTAGTTAGCAGCTCAACACTTAACCCACTGTGCCACCAGGACTCCTTTGTAAGAGGGATTGTTGTTGTTGTTGTTACGTGCCGTCGAGTCGGTTCTGACCCATAGCGACCCTGTACAGGGTTTCCGAGGGTGTAAATCC